GATCGCTAGATAGTCCGGAACGTATATTATATCATCGAAGCTAGGACAAGTGGATTCTTTTGTGCAGAGAGTGGTGAGATCATTCTTCGGTTGTCTATCGCTCGTGGCAGACTACAATATTTCTTCTCATCCTGTAATTAGTGAGAAAGGGACTGTTCCAAATCGACCACTGCTCTCCTCGTCCTCCTTCGAAACCCGGGGAGCCAAGGTTTTTCTACTTCGCCTGGTTCCTTTATGTTTGCATTCTTGCTTTTTCTACTTTCTGACCGGGATAGGGGATTCCTTCCCTTTCTCTCAGTCGTATTCTCGTTAGTTTGAGATGCATTATTTGCCTCGTTGGCAAGCGTTTCTCTTCTCTTCAACCACCAGAGGCACAACACGACTAAACCCAGCGTCGCCAGTAGCGACACAACTTCAGTCACAGCTGTGATGGTAAGCTTTGTCATCGTCCGCAGAACTAGACTTACTCATGAAAACTTTTCCCGCATACTTCTTCTGATGGATCCATCCGAAATTGTCATCTGGAACGGCGAGCAAGCTGGTCACAAACGACAACGGCGTGAAAACAATGGTGACGATTGTAAAGCCAATGACAGTCGTGCTCAATACAGTGCTATTGTGCGACTCCCTAAGACTCGCATGCGTCTTCTTGAGTTCAAGCTGCCCGTGGATCCACTGCTCAACACGCTGAGCATCTTCGTCGATCTTTTGAATGCGTCGCTTGAACTTCGGAATCTGCTGTTTCGGTCGAACCGCAATGCGGCGGTTGTTATCATCCCATTTGGGGATTTCGTCTTTCAAGTCCTCGTAAAATTGGGTCCAAACTTCTTCTTGATCCGTGACAACATTCTTAATCATCGCAAGCTCATCGCGAATATCTGTGATGTCGTGAATGAATTTCATCTCCTGCTTGATAGAGATCTTTTCCAAGGTGGTCTCGTTCATGTAGCCCTTCACCTGGTCGTATACATTGGCGACTGCCTTTTCAAACACTTGGAAAACGGATTCCTTAAGGCCTGCGTAGTTCGGTCCATCAATATGGTTGACGAACTCGGAAAACACCAGGGCCGCAATTTGCAAGCCTGACATGTTTTTTCCCTTGTACAGATTGTTCTCTTGGAAATTGGACATCGCCCATAGGTGCGGGTCATACCCAAGGTCTTTATACCGGAGAGGTTCGTCAATATGATTCTTGCCGTAGATAGTCTCCCCTTTTACGTGCTTTTGTTCGCACGCGGATACAACGATATCGTCCATCCTCCATAACCATAGCTGTGATACCATGAGTACGCGCTTCTTTTCTGTGTCTTCTTCGTCATGACTGAGTACTTGGTCTTTGTTACGTTCCCGAAGCTGCTTGCTGTTCATTCCTAGGTAATATGACTCGTCGAGTGTCAATGGTAGATGGATATTTAGTGAACGTATGCGCTTAGATTGTGACACTAGGGTGGCACGTTTTGCTTTCTCGGGCTCGGAAAGCTGCAGATATTCGCCCGAACCCTGGTCGATGAAGTGCCTTCCTTCTTCCAGGTCCTCTCTTATGTCCAAAGTGCAACTCTTGGGCCTGGAATGAAAATACGGTATCTTATCGCAGTCAGTTGGAGATTAGCACCAAAACACTCGGTCAAATTACCACAAGTGATGTAATATTCGTCCCTGATCTACTTTGTTGCGTACCACGCACTTGGGTCGCAGTGGCTGCTCTAATTTTCGTTGAATCCTCATCCGTTGTCTTCAGAGCGAACGCGTTGTACGATGGTTCTCGAAATGCCAGCCGATGGGCAGCGGCCCCATGTTGCAGGAACGTGCGGGAGAGAAAATGGAGCGCGGTGTCCGTTGCCTTCATATCGTAGCCTTGGGCGATGCTCGACAGCGCAACAAAGGCCTATTAAAATCAGTTTTCTGGACATGCACCGTTTCTCGCCTTACAGTAAAGTACGCATCCTAAAAGATGTGAGCATATATTCGCTAATGATGATAGCATGAAGGACGCCATACATTGTTCTCTTGGATAGACAACCAATATCTGTCCCTACTTGGAAATATAGTCTTCCCAGTATTTTTGCCGATCCGGAGACGCTCGGCAAAGCCAATCCCTTTCTCAGAAAACTGCCACATATATATGTCAGGAGTGTTATCCCAGTGACGCTCCATGAAGGCATATATATGATCTTCCTTGAGCCTCAATTCGTCATGTACAACGTAATCGTCATGCCTTTCCAATCGTGAGACGATATCCCAGGGTGTTTCACCTGCCCGGTCACGGGCAAAAGGACTGGCACCACTGTCTAACAGTTGATGAAGCATTGTATTCGAGAACTTATTGTTGGTTGTGGGAGCATTGTGGAGCACGGTCTTTCCAAGCTCATTCGGCAAATTCGCATCCACGAGTGCAGTCATGTATCTCGCTCTTCGTTTACATAATGCTTGGACGACACCAAGCTGCGGGGCTTCAAATCCGAACATAAACATGTCATGAAAGAGTCTCTGCCATTCTTGAGGATTTTGGAGGTCCAGATCGATCAGATATTCAAGGGTCTCTTCATGACCATAGTAGGCAGCTGCTTGTGCGGGGGAGAGTTCCCGATGGCCACGTTTGTTCGTGTCGTGTTTCACCTTCGTATCCGCGCCGTTGGCTACTAACCATTTCACGATATCTAGCTTGCCGGCTATAGCAGCGATGTGGATGTACCCGTGTGGATTTATATCCGGTAGCGAGATCGAGCTTTTTACCATGTCGAGTGACCCATTGTTGATGGCAACCGTAATCGCAGTTGACCTCAATGATTGGTCTTTGCGCAGAATAGCATTGACTATACGAGAGTCTCTCCTAGTCACCCGCTCTTTGACTGTTTCTAGCAGATATGATGTTGAGCCAGGTCGGCTATCTGTTGACGAGGCTCGTGGATCCGTCATTAAGGCTTGTAAGTCATCTACGTCTATGTCTTCGTGAATGAGGCATTGACGAAAGGCTACATCTCTATTAGATACTGCTCTACGTATATAAGTAACCAACAACTGACCTTCATCACTCATAGCACTTACAGCTCCAGCAGAGAGTCGTCGGCGCCGAAGACGAGCATTAGTAGCGTCATGCCGACCGGAACTTGGCAGACTCTCTTGGGATGTAGCCATCATGAACAGCACCCAAACTGATAGAGCATTGAATGGAAGCTGCTAAATGCTGAAAGTGAGCAAATTTCGAGTCAGAGAAGGACACGATGGTGAACAAATGTTGCGATAGACAGATTTTTACTGCAGGTGGGCTTGAAACTCCGAGGCTGATGCTGGCGGGTAATACGAACGGGGCGCAGCAGCTGCTTATAAATGCCCAAGTCAATGCGCGTCAAGTCCAAAATCGTTACTCCACCCCAGTAATTAAAACGCCAAGTCGTTCCTACCGAGCTTCAGCAGGTTCCGCTTAGGGTTAGGGTTAACCCTTCACAGCCCCTCTGCCACTTCACAGCTATATATTGTAGAGATTCACTATGAGGTGGTGACTCAATGAAGTAGGGGGGACAAAAAGGCGCGTTGTGCTTTGCCAATGCACGAACAAAGGGGGACCAAAAAAGTGGCTAAGGCGCGCCCAGCGTCTGTGCGCAGGCTAACCAAAAAGGGCGTAGCGCCAATCACAGCTATATTACAGCTATATTATAGCCACAGCCACCATTTAGACATCCAAGAATTCCAAGAATATCAAGAATTAGACTTACAACCATAATCTTTCACTCTATCTCTAACTTAACTCTAAGATGGCTATTATCAATTCGCGATCCCAGTTCGAGGACCCTAATCAAGAATGTAACATCCTATTAGAAACCCCACCGCGACCATTATATCAGTACACTTCTCTTCCGGTCAAAGATCCAAGTTTTCGTCTCCTCCGCATATCACCTGTACTGGAAGACGGCCTAATTAGATGCGAATTAGTCATCGAAAACTTTCCGGAAGACGTAAAAGAGCAGCAACGTCAAGGTCTATCAAATGATGGTGACCATTTGTGCTACAATGCACTCTCGTACGAATGGGGATGTGAGCTAGTCTTTGGGTGGATACTCTTGAATGATGGATGCATCAAAGTGGGCAAATATTTGTTCAACTTTTTACATACAGCACGCGCACATCTGGTGCGTGGCTGTGAGCCCAAACTCCCAGAGTACATCTGGACAGATGCGCTGTGCATCAATCAGGAAGACGTTAAAGAGAAAAAGCACCAGATCGAGCTAGATCGGTTTGTTCCGTTTAGAGACCGACATATTATACAGTTTAAGAAGAGGGTAGAAGAAGGTATGTGGTGGCCTAGTTCCAAGAAACCCTTTGTTTCTAAGATATATACTAGTGTTACATATTTTTAGGCTGGAGATGCATAAAACCTGTGGAACAAATCTGGCTTGTTCAGCCGTCGTGTCTTGTGTGATTAGTTGCCTGTACCGTTCCTTCTATGACTCAACGCGCAACCACCACAAGCTCAACAGTAGTCCCTTCTCGCTTTCGTCATGGTATCAGTTATGGTCCTCACTCTACCTTGCAAGTTGAGTCCGAGTCGCATTTGCATTTGCATTCTTGGATTGCTTCCTGGCGTACCCGGGTCGTGCATTGCTACCTCTAAGGAGGCACAGGACATTTGCAATAGGATATGCTGACGCTGGATCAGTCCAACAATCATCGCATAGTCGCTAGAGGTACGATCCGTGCAGTCTCCTACCTCATACTACTCCACTCATTCGGATATAAGCTAAGGCCTTCGCCGACAGATATAGAATAGTTAATCCTAGAGTAACTTGGGCTACTATACTAGTTTAAAATGTTAACTTAATACTGTACCGCCGGTGTTCATCTTCCCGTGAGAGCCTGCTCTCCCGAAGGAAATTGATGTCTTTCGGCATTCGCTTTCAATTGGTACGTTCTATTTCCCTGCGTTCGAATGCGGCCCAGCTTTCTCATGATCAGTTCAACACTGTAGCACATCCATCCGATCGCACTCAAACTTTCAAAAAGAGCGACGCCTGCAGGATTCGAACCTGCGCTCCCGAAGGAAATTGATAGCTATGGCGTTTCCAGCCGTTTCGAGTCAATCACGTTAACCACTCCGTCAAAGCGCCTTTGATGAATTAAAAGATTCTTGAAAATTGGAAGTACATATAGACAAGACTAAGAGTAAATCGAATGGATGGTTGTTGAGATATGGGTCACTGTCGGCAGAGACTCAACGAGTGATGTACGATTGGTCTAAGCGGGGCACCACCTCAGATTTTCAGTCCAGCAAATCACGACCATGTGCGAACTCGCTTCTATATACTACGGTTCGGCAGCAGTTCGGTCGGCCAAACTGCACGTCGCCGGCGCCCTCTTGCACGAACTTGGGCGGGCCCTTAGCGGGGCGCGGTCGATCTCCGCTAGTGGCACTTTATCCGAACAAGCCCATTGGTTTCATGCAGGTGCATCCGACGAGACAAGCACAAGCTCCAACGGCCTTGGGACGTACACACGCAGACTCCTGAACACGTACAGCGTGCGCGCGGTCTGCCTGTTCACCGCGACCACACACGCGGCGGAAGGGCGCCGCGCCATGTAGAGGCTCCGACCCGGCGCATCTCTTGTCAGCCTTACCCAGCACGCAGCAGCACGCCGCACGCTCAACCCAAAGAAGATGGACGCAATTGCGAAGCCGTCCGCGCTGGCGAGCCCCAAACTTATCAAGAATGCAAAGGGCGCCGTGGTCCCGAGCAGCCAGATGGCGCACATTGCGTACGGCTGCGGTGCGTTTTCCAGCAACCCCGTGGCGGCGCTCGCTGACAGACGCAGAGCACATGCGCACCATGATGGAGAATGCGCGCAAGCAGACCTTCGGGCACTACCGCGGCATACTGCAGAAGATCTACGAAGAGCCCAGCATAATCGCGCAGACGTACAACAACAAGACAGACGGCCAGTCCGTGGTCTCGCTGCGCCCGCTGTACCTGTGCCTGCAGTGTCCGAACATCATGACCGAGGCGGATCGCGACGAGCATATTGATTCTAAGCGGCATATCTTTGGTGGGTAGAGCGTGGGCATACCGAGGCACATGCTGACAGGCATAGCGGTGGAGTCGCGGAGCGGGAACGTATACTGCGGCGACTGCCAGGACTTCATCTACGACCCAATTCTAGAGGAGCGACGGCTCCAGAAGGGTGGGTCGCTTCATGTGGCACTGTATGGGCTTGATTGCTGATGAGAGCAGGCAAAAAGCGGAAATACGAAAACTCGACCACCACCGAGGAGCACAAGCTGGTGCTGAACAACTCCACTTTCCTGCCCTGCCGCGCGATTGGCCTGCGTGGTCTCTACAACATGGGCCAGACCTGCTTCATGAGCGTCATATTGCAGACGTTAATACACAACCCCTTCATACGGAATTACTACCTCTCTGAAGGGCACAAGACGGTGGAATGCGAGCGAGAGTCGTGCGTGAGCTGCGCGCTGGACGAGATGTTCGTCGAGTTCCACTCGGTCGAGAAGACGGAGGGTTTTGGGGCCGTCAACATGCTCATGGGCAGCTGGCTCGCTGGAGAGGTAGGCATCCCGACCCTCACCCCCTACAGGAGCTAAACTCTCGCAGGCACTTGCAGGTTATCAGCAGCAAGACGCACACGAGTACATGCAGTTCATGCTCAACACGCTGCACCTCCAGAACGGCGGCTCCGCCGACTCCGAAGACTGCGACTGCATCGTGCACCAGACCTTTTACGGCCGCCTCTCCAGCACCGTGACCTGCGACAACTGCCGCAACACGACCACCGCGCTGGACCCGTACATGGACCTCAGCCTCGACATCCGCAACCTCCCCAAGAAAAAGAAGTCCGAGAGCTCGGAAGACAACCACATCGCGCTGCAGAGCTGCCTTGACCGCTTCACCGGCCGCGAGAAGCTCGGCGCCGCAGAATACACGTGTCAGACGTGCGACGGCGGGCAGAACGCCACGAAGCAGCTCAGCATCAAGCAGCTGCCGCCCGTGCTGCCCATCCACCTCAAGGTACGACTCCCCACCCTGTCCCTTCCTCATACCCTCGCAGCTCACTAACCCCACCAAGCGCTTCGAGCACTCCAAATCCACCTCCACCAAACTCGAAACCCGCATCTCCTTCCCCCTCTCGCTAGACCTCTACCCCTACACCACCGCCTACCGCTCCACCGCCCCGGCCAAACACGCCGCCCCGCGCAACACGAACCACAACGTCAATTCCCCCGCCAACACGCTCGTGTACGAGCTGTCCAGCGTCGTCGTGCACAAGGGGAAGATCGACAGCGGGCATTATATTAGCTACAGCCGCGAGGGGGACGATTGGTTCATGTTTGACGATAGTAAGGTGGTGCTTGCGAGCGAGAGGGAGGTGCTGGGCGCAGAGGCGTATTTGTTGTTTTATATGGTGCAGGCGCTGGAGGTGTAGACCGTGGGGGGCGGGGAAGGGAGGGGGAATGTTGTATTATACCAATGATATGGGGGTGGTGGGCGCATGAGAAAGGCGTTATGGGACATGGTATTGATATCGAGCCGCATAGCACATTTTGTTTGCGCGGCGGACAGGCATGGGTGCATAGCGCTTTTCCTCATACATGTTGGATTCCAATGACATGGTATTTTTTTAACCGCGAGGGAGGGAGACGGGCATCTGCAAACCGGCCCGGATAGGCTACGCGGGAATGACTCATTCTGAGCGCAACGAACAACCACTCGACTCGCACCGCACCACGCTACATGCGGTGCAGTTGGGCGACACTTCCCCCACGATATGGACCGGCAATGCCGCTGGGCTGTCTATCGGGGATGCGCGGCCTCGGTATCCACATCACTCTCCCCAGACATAGAAGGAGATAGGTATAAAGTCCATCCGCCACACCAGCTCTCGCTGTATACCCAGTACACCCAATTACCCCAGACCCTCCGCGTATCTTGAACGAAGAGACAATGGCTCCTCCCAAGGTAGAAGTCCGCTCTGAGACAAGATTGCATCCCACGCACCCGCCCACCACGCCAGTAACGACACCGCTCTCCCTCGTCGACGCCTCCGTCGCGCGCTTCACGCCTTGTGGGGCGGTGTGGTACTTCCCTGCCCCGAGTCCTCCTCGCACGGGGTCTTCCATCCCGGACCCCCTGGCCCCGGAACGTCTAAAAGACAGCCTCGCACACACTCTCTCTGCGTATCCTCACTGGGCGGGCCAGCTGCGTATGACGCCGTATGTCAACGGTGTTGAATCCCAGAGGACGAGAAAGAATGGTGAGAGATACGGCCGCATGGAGGTGCGGTACGGATACAGAGATTCCCACAGCCAGGGCCAGGGCGAGGTTGGTGATCCAGGCGTTCTCTTCGTGGATGCGCGTGTAGACTGCGGGATAGAAGCCGCACTGCCACCGCCAGCGTCTCCATGTCCATCTGCAGAGAAAGATGGTAGCGGAGGTGGTATGAGGATCTGCGACAACATGCTGCGCGAAGACGTGCTCCTCCCGGCCTGCGCACTCGCGGGCTACCTATCGCCGGCTGACCACAGAGAAGCCAGCGTCGCAGTCCAAGCCACGCGCTTTGCATGCGGAGGCATGGCTGTGGGCGTAAAGATATCGCACTGTCTGGCCGATGCTATCACGCTCTCGCGTTTCGTGCATGACTGGAGCGCGGTGCACACTTCCCTCCTTTCATCCTCGCCGCCTCCGGAGCTGGCGCCGGTGTTCGAGCCGTGGGTTCTGGATCAGAAGGCGGGGAGCGTGGATGATGCGGTGCCTGATGGGGATGTGCTGGAGCGGGCGTACGGGCTGCCGCTGCATCGGTATGACTACTGGTGCTCGGGGGAAGGGTCGCGCTTTGGGCCCGGTGCACATGCGGTGCCCGAGGCGTTGAAAGACGAGCCTGAGGCGCAAACGTTGGCGCGGAGAGGGGAGAAGATGCCGTGGGGTTCGTGGGATGTGCAGGCGCCGGTGGCGCATGCGGTTGTACACTATACCTCTGAGCAGCTCGAGCGGATATGGAGCGCGGCCGCGGCGGGTCTGGATGCGGGGAAACTGAGCAGACACGATGCGCTCGTTGCACATGTCTGGGCAATCGTGAACCGCGCGAGAGGCCCTGAGAAGGGGGACGTGGACAGCGAAGTCCACTGCGACATATCGATTGGGCTACGGACGAGAGTCGAGCCGCCCCTGTCCCCGTCCTTCCTGGGCTCGCCACTGCTAAACGCAAAGACGACGCTTCCCTGGTCCGTCGCCAGCTCGGTCGCTGATCTCCCGCGCATAGCATCCAGCATCAAGGCGACCCTCTCTTGCTTCACGCCCGCGGCGGTAGCGGCCCAGATCTACGCCACGGCTTACGAGCTCGCGCCGCAGAGGCTGTGGCAGGCGTTTTTGGGGAGACAGCACGTGATTGTGACGAGCTGGGCACATACGAGGCTGTACGAGTGTGACTTTGGTAAGGGTTTGACGCCAGCGTATGTACATCCCATCATGCCGCTGGTAGATGGGTGTGTGCAGGTCATGGAAGCCCGGCCGACGGGTATGAAGACGCCGGCAAAGAGGTGGTACGACGCCGGCGTCGACGTGGCAATCTATCTCGAAAAGGAGGCTATGGGGCGGTTGGCAAAGGATGAGCAGATATGGCTTTGAGATTCTTGAAGTTGAATAGGCTGTTTTCAGGGGGATGTAGAAACTCCGAATGCACGAAGGATACTGTCCGGGTCTTGTTTCTCTTGACCGGATAATTGGTGTTTCCAGACATCTTCCTGAATACGCTTGGATTCCGGCAAAATGCTCCAGTGAGGGCTGGCTTCTGCCTTGAGCCATTTGAAGTCGTCGATTTGGTCCCACTGATTTGAAGAGCTTGCGAGGTCCCCTGCCATCTGTTATATGTGAGCTGGTATTCTGAGATCTGAGGACATCCAACTTACATAGATCTGTGACAACGGCGCGAAGCGAATGTCCTCGCAATCCTCAATGATAGGCCGGCTCGAGCAATGTAGATAGACGTCCACCTTCTTCGACCCATGCATGCGGAACTGCCGACAGCTCGTGATAATGACACTGTTTTCCAAATCCGTCATGTGAATCGGGCCCGCCACGCGCCCAGTCACCACCAAACTGCC